TATTTTATGATTTTTATATGAATAAAGATATGTCATTATTGTATGACTGTTGAAACAGTTTGTAATTATCTTATAATTATTGTATGACTGTCATTATTGTAAGAATAATTATTTTTGTACGATTTTTTTTTGACTCATGTAGATGGATCGGCAATGGATGTACGCTAACCGGCGGTCCCAAGAGTTTATTGACAGCGTGCACTATTTTTTGAGAGTGGCCGAAGCTAACAGGCAAAGGGGTTTTATTTGTTGTCCATGCAATAAGTGTAAGAATCAGAAGGAGTATTCTACAACCAGGACTATTCATTTCCACTTGTTTGAGTCGGGGTTCATGCCAAGCTATAATTGTTGGACATCCCATGGAGAGCAAGGTGTTGAAATGGAAGAAGATGAAGTGGAAGACGACAATATTTCGGACTTTGCTCAGTACGTTGGATTTAAAGGAAATCAAACAGGCGAGGAGGAAATGGATGCTGATGGTAACGACGTTACGGATGATCTTGGTCAGATGTTGCAGGACGCCAAGGAGAACTGCGAAAGTGAAAAGGGAGCCTATAAATTGGACAAGATGTTAGAGGACCACAGAACTTCGTTGTACCCAAGTTGCGAGCAGGGGCACAAAAAGTTGGATACCACTCTGGAGTTCTTGCAATGGAAGGCAAAAAATGGGGTTAGTGACAAGGCATTTGGCGATTTATTGAAACTCGTCAAGAACATTCTTCCGGAGGGAAACAAATTGCCCGAGACAATGTACGAGGCTAAGAAGATTGTCTGCCCGCTAGGACTGGAAGTTCAGAAGATTCACGCATGTCCGAATGATTGTATCCTATATCGCGGTGAGGAGTATGAGAACCTAGAAGCATGCCCTGTTTGCAAAGTACTACGATACAAGATTTGACGAGACGATCCAGGAGAAGTTGACGGGCAGCTAACGAAGAAGAGCATGGACGCCATGCAAACCCAGGACGAATCCACCTGCCCCATTGATGACATCACTCAGCGGACACCATGTGAGCTGCATATTCCTTTCAAGAACTTATCAATAAAGGTAAGCTCGTAGTTTATATATTTTAGATTTGACCATTCCGCTAGTTGCTGCTTATATATGTTGATTACTAATAAATAACCTCTCACCACATGAAGGTGGCGTCGGGCATGGCCATCCCAACGGACCCTTCAGGTACTTACCACTGCAGGCCGATTCCAGCAGGATATTCCAAGGTCGAAGTTGAGTTGGTCGAAGGCGCGTACGAGGATCTCGAGCTGGATTACCCTGGAGGAGAAGGTGAGACGCATCTACGAGACACAAGCCATGCCATTATTCTATGGCGGCGGTACATCATCCTCCCTGGGCGACAAGCGGCGTCTCGTGCACCATCTCCTCCGGCTCTGCCATCTCCTCCTCAGGATCCTGCACCGTCTCCTCCTCATGCTCCAGCACCGTCTCCACCTCAGGCTCCTGCACCGACTCCTTCTCATGCTCCAGCACCGTCTCCACCTCAGGCTCTTGCACCGACTCCTCCTCAGGCTCCTGCATCGACTCCTCCTTGGTCTCCTACACCGACTCCTCCGCAAGCTCCTCTTCTGGCACCTTCAAAGTCAAGGACCCCCCAAGCTCCACTGCCTGCCCACACAAGGGCAACGAAGAAGGCGAAAGTTGACACCGCCAAGAACAAGGACCCGGGGTACGATTGCACGCAAGAGGAGCTTGACGCTTACGTGGCATCAGAAGTCAAGAGACAATTCAAGCCTCGAAGTCCAGAAAAGAAGATTCATATAGACCCGAGTGTCATGAACTTCTTCAGGGGTATGTCTGCACCTGCCAAGGAGGCCATTAAGCTATCGGACTATGAGCGAACGCTGAAGAAAGCATCTTCTGGAAAGTCCAAATCAGTCCCTCAGCTTGGAGAGCAACCAAACCAGGAGATCGAGCCGTTGGTGACCGGTAAAGAAATGACGATAGAAGAATTTATTACTGATACCGGTCTAACTACGGATCAATTGCTAGGAGTCGCACCAATCGAAAAGGCGGAAGTGAAATACATGTACGAACTCGGTAAACCGCTTGTCAAGCCTGAGCTGCTGCAGTCCCTACCCACACAAATGTACAAGTTCCATCAGCTGTACATGGAGATGAGCGCCACCGGTAGAGAGATGATCGGAGCGAGGATCAGGGACACGGACTTCTTGCAAGGAGATGACATTCTCTGGATCAATTTCAAGGGAATCTACGAACTATACCAGCTGGACGCCCTCGACGTCTCTATTATGAGTTGCTGGATTTTGTAAGTATATCGTTCAGTTAGATTTCTTACTACGTCTCCTTTAATTAATTAGGTCCTTGTATATAAGTAGACTATAGAAAATAATATACTCCCTTTTATCGTTGTAGAATGGAGATTCAAAGGGCCCGATGGCGGGGGGTTTTCGATATTGGATTCATCGACCCTCATAAAGTAAACGTCACAATGCTCGACCAATATCCGCAAGCCACAGAGGACAATCTCGTCCATCTCCTGAAGGCACAGCATTACAAGACGTTCATACTGTTGCCGTACAACACAGAGTTAGTTTAATTTTATTGTCTTCCTATACCAAATTTCATTCCCGTACGAACTTGCTAAGTGTTTCATATGTAATGCATCCCACGCACATTGCAGATTCCACTGGGTGCTTTTACTCTTCGACCTGTCGGCCTGGACCGTCAACGTATATGACTTAATGGATAAAAAATAGTCTACGTTTGACAAGGTTTTCGAACTTATAGACAGGTACCGTCATAAGTTTCTCTGTTAATTAAGAAAATCTTGTTATGTTAATTGCTACTACGAATCATATCTTTAAACTCCATGTAAGGCTTGGTATCGGTTCCATCATTTGGTCCGCGGCAAATGGAGAGAAAGACTTAGGCGGAATTTCAAATTTCCTGTGAGTACACATGCTCTACATTTATATTTCTCCGATTCAAATACATACAAGTGTATATTAATTAGATCTCTCGTTGTTTGTCATTTATTTGTAGTGCGCAAAGCAAAAGAAGGGAACTAACTTGTGCGGCTATTACGTGTGCGAGTATTGCCACTGCCTTGCAGACCAAATCATCACCATAAGAGAGCTCAATGTACGTACAAATAAATTCAAAATTTCATTACGTGTTGATTTCTTGTTTAATTACTAATCAATTTCATACATTCATATAGTTTATTCGCATGAGGGATAACCTGACCACGCACAAGGAATTTATCGCGGCGGTTCAAGAACAACTCATGGGATTCATCAACGAACAAATCCTTGATCCCAAGGGTGAATTCTACTACGACGGAAATACAATTCATAGGTCCTTAGCTTCTGAGCTAGCGACTACTACTACGTCGAAATCGTAGCTAGCTAGGACATATAATGGATTGTAATTAATACATGACTACATATGTTTCTATATGCATGTGTACACATTTTCTATAATGTAAATATATTTTGGTCATATATATATATATATATATATACATATGCATTTGCATAACATATATATGTATAAATACATATATATTATGCATGTACATATGTATTGAAACATATATAAATATAATATAATATATATATATATATATATGCATATATGTACTGAAACATATATATGCATGGTTTATATATATATATATATAAACCATGCGGCAACAGGGCCATGCAAAAAAAAAAAAGGTCAGCTCGATCTTTAGTCCTGGTTGTTAATACCAACCGGGACGGCTGAGCCATCTTTAGTCCCGGTTAGTAACCCCAACCGGGACTAAAGATCGATCTTTCGTCCCGGTTGGTGTACCAAAGATAGCGATCTTTAGTCCCGGATTGGTAGTCCCGGTTTAGAAACCGGGACTAAAGGGAGGTTACGAACCGGGACTATAAAGGGTTTCTCCACCAGTGATAGCGGCAATAGCAAAGGCCAAAGGTGCAAGACAATGAGGCAGGCAGCAATCAAGTTTCGAAGAAATCATCGGTCTTGTGTCCAAAAAAAAAATAAAAAATCTACGGTCCAGCCTAGCTGCTCTAAGAGCAAGTTTAATAATACAACCAACTACTAACTCCAACTATATATATACCCAATTTAACAGCTCATTCATACAATAGTTACCTATGCATATATATTACACCATTAATACATGGTCCCACCTCTCATATAAACATATTATTTTGGAGTCCTGCAAGTGGCTACGAATCTATAACCCGCTTTCTTTCTCTCTCTTTTCTTATCTCATCCATATGTGTTTATAGCTGACTTGTATCCTGCTATTATACTAATACTCGATCCTCTCATCCATATGTGTTTATAACTGGCTTGTATCATGCTATTATACTAATACTCTGACCGTCCAGGCTTCAACGAATCAATAGTCTGCTACTCCCTCCGTGTCAAAATATAACAATTTCTAGCCGTTAGGATTTGTCCCAAAATATAACTACTTCTCCACCTATATTCTCCTCCCAACTAATCACAACCCTCCACTACTCACTTCTACCTACTTTCTTAATAACCATATCCAACTCTAAAAATTCTTATATTCTTGGACGGAGCGAGTATTATACTAATACTCTGAGGCTTCAACGAATCAACAGTTCCTTTCACTTCGACTGAGAAGTTAAGAAGGTAACACTACACCCTAAAACCTATATATACCGAGACCTGTACAAAATTAAACTGAAAGATTTGATGGTTGTGTATGCACTGCCTTGTTGAGTAGCCATCGAATATGTGGTCTTTTGAGCCAGAAAGAATACACAAATGAAAGAAATCAGTTAGGGTTTTTAAAAAAACAAGGCATATTATTTTTTATAAATCAAGGCTTAATTGTATTTTTCGCTTAAGATTTTTGGTTTAGGTTTTAGAATTGTGTGGGCAGTGGGCACACCCACGATAAAAATCATAGGTGTGCCGAGCGGCCATTAGTGTGGAACTCTTGCTTAGCTTTGACCTCATGCAACCCACCAAAAAAAATTGGCAATTCCAATAACACGAAGATGCCAATGACGGCTTTCATTAACAAATGAAATTCTGGTACATGTACACTGCCCAAATACAACACTCTTTACAAGATATCTATCTATATGTACACGTTATTTACAATATGTACATGGCACTGCTTACGGAAGGCTCACCAAAACGGGCACCACCTGTGGAACATAGCAGAAACAAGCAAACTGTGAGTAACTTGACAAAATCAGTGGTCAACTATTTTTTTTTCTGGCAGTACGACAAACATGGGGCGTGGTAAATAAATTGCGGAACCATACCCGACGTAGTTTTGGCACAAGTTTTCATGCGAAGTCGCTTGAAGTATAAGCCTCTGAACCTGAACCTTCACGGATAAACCAGGTTCCACCTCTCGAGTGTCTCCTGAAGCCAGATGCTCGTTACCATGTTGGGTGGAGCTTCCCGCCCCCGACAACGATGATCCGGAAGAGAAATCGCGCCCTGTGAGCTTATGACTCATTCGTGCCATCACAGCTACGGCACGCTCATTCAAAACCTCGTTAGCATCACCGAGTTGATTGACCGCCTGCATGAGCATAAAAAACGCTTAATATTTCGGTACGTCGTTAATACTATAATGACTAGCTGAACAGTCAAGGTTGAGAAAGAGAAGGCAGACCTGTAGCAGTTCTCTCTCCCGAGCTCCCCGGGGTGGTTGCATGAGCTCCCGATTAGCAGCTTCTTCGCTATTGACAACTGTGTGACTGTGAGCATTTCCATAGTTTGTAACTTGAGGGACTTCATTGAAATTGAACAGACGCCAATTGATTAATGGGTCATGCACAAATGCCTGAAAAAATAATACAAGTTAATGAATGTTTGATAATAACATGTCACCAAATATGTAAGGAGGTAGGTACAGCAGATGAAGCATAAAACTGCATTTAGTAATGCAGTTGTTGAGGAAGAGTTCATGTGATAAGGGTTTGGAAAGCCTGACAGAACCAGATGCAAACAAAGGTTTCTCGGCAACGGTTCTAGAAACGTTTATCCAAAATGGGTCAGTTCAGACTTGTTCTTACAACCAGCATACTCAAGTTTCAGATCAAAGAGTCCCCTTATGGCCCTAGCCTTACACTACCCCATGAATCACATTTTTCGTAAAATAATTTATTAACATCCGTATTTGGATATTACTAAACAAAATAGAACAAAGCAAACAGTTTTCATAAACTGAATAAAAAACGAACATCCCTATAAGTACATTAGGATGTAACACTGGTTCGGTTTTTCGAAACACTAGGTGTCTCAGTCCAGAGTATACATGGATAAGAAACTATACTTGTTAGCAAACTAAGTTTAAGAGCTACATCCTATGCTAAAATTACAACTTCACAAGCGTACAGATTATTGCAGAAGTGCATGGAACATAAAAATATTCACGAGTTCAACTGAGTATTAAGATGCAATGTGCAATATAAAACACAACGTTCTTACCTCCATCATAGCCATAACGCTATCCTTGTTTGTTCGAAGTACTTGCATCACATTTTCGCAAGTGGTTCTGAAGGTACCCTCAATACCACTAACTTCCATGGCTTTCACAAGCATTCTAGTCAAGCGAAATGGAACCTGTACCAGACATTGCAAATAATATATAAACAACAATAGCATACAATAATGAAAATGCCATACTCTTATGGATCAATGCGTACGAGATAATGACAACCTCACATGAAAAATAATTTGATGTCAAAGGAAGACCATAAAATGATACATCATCGAGCTACAGAATAAATTATTAATTGGAGAGAGATAATGTCCAGAACACATCCTTACCTTTTCGGGAAACTTTTCACGATTCATTGAAGCCTCAAAGCAATCGCCAAAGTCAATATGTAATATTTTTCCACTGAAGCAACAAAAAAAGAAGACGCAATGAAAACAATTGCCCAATGATGAACAGGAAGAGAAGTTTTGTAGATGTACCTATAACGATCTAACATAAGATTACTTGGATGCCGATCTCCTAAACCAAGCAAATAGCCAACCTAGAAAATCAACATTGAAGCATCTTAACATGGAAAAGAACATTTAATTCAAAAACAAAAACAGAACATGACAGTAAATCATACCATGCTCATAACAGCCAGACTTCTCGTATAATTTGTGCGCCGCTCAAGCCATACTTCAGAGGTTCGGCTTTTAAGCCAGAGAACCTGACACAAGTTTGTTCAGGTAGATTAATGTTAAACATTGTCTCAGAAAGCACCAATTTGGCATGACAAAAACAGCACAGTACCTTTGCAAGGTCATTTCCTTCACTGTTTTCTAGGGCATGCTGAAATACTTCTACTTTGGCGATGAGGGGTAAGTGGTCATAATCAGGTGCAAAACTCAACATACATCGGTGCTCCTGATTTAAGAAAATCTGAAAAGAAAAGGAAACGCTAAATGATCAATGAAAAATAAAAGTGTCTCCCTCTTCTTACAGAAGAAAAGAAGTGGTTGCATCAGACAAACCTTCCTGGCATCTCTATATTCACGGATCAGGGCATGAAGTGTGTCACAATTTGGAACCCATCCAATTAAACCACTGTTAGGAGACAAAGGTATGACAGCATATCTTTGGATTGACAGATCTTTCTCTGAAGTTTTCCTAGAGTTCTCCAGCAGAGTATTCACCAGGCCAAAAAGCTAAAATGAATAGGAAAATATTTAGGTATAAAATTAAAATATTCACAGAAGTAAGACAGGTTCCAGCTAATCTAGGGTAGGTAAGTACTATTGGCACTTACAATTATAATCATAGGATGTTTCTAGAGTTGAATGTCAAGTGTTATTTTATGTTCAAATGATAAGTTTCATCCACTAAGTGGGTTCATAGCAGTGTAGTTCTACATAGGCTTGCAAGATCCTAGATTGATCAAGTCCTGATTACTAGTCTTCCTTAATTGTGTATAATCAAAGATAAAGAAAATGACGATTCGTAAACATTACTATTCATATGGTAAAGCAGCACAAGGGTACTGAAAAACGAAAGAGCTGCCCCCTCCACATAGGAGAATGGAGTTCAAAGCAATTGATGGGTACAGAATACAAAAATATGCTCATCATTCCAGGTTCTATGGTGATCAAAAGAACTCACAGAATCAGATCAAGAAAAGATTGTCATATATATACAAACCTGCATTACACGCTCATCCTGCCGTAAATCTTCATGGCCTTTCAGCAAGAATGCATAATCGTTGCCATCACTTCCATGAATTGTCAGTTTTCTTGGTCTTTGTTTAGATGTTATAACAATCAATTGAGGAACAAAATACTCAATTGTCACAAGTGGTGCATCTGGAAGCAAAGATCCATTTTTTTTATTTCAAAATATGTCCTTATAACAAAAGGAAAATATGACTACAAAGGCTAATAGCACTGAAAAATCAAACTATCTTTTTTACTATCGATGGCCCAATCATAACTTAAATAATTTTGAAATCAGATTAAATTGTCTTGTTGACTTCATAGGCCTCAAGTTTCACAGATTTATTTCACATGGTTCCAGTAATAACATATCAAAAAACAATATGAAGGCTAGTACAAATAGTTAAAATGTCGACGCAGATAGCAAATGTAAACCATTTATTCCCAAAATGTTGATAAACCAAATTTTCGATTATGGAAACTAAATAATGCAGAAAAGAAAGCAGTATGAATTCGATAAGAACTAAAGAACAACATATAGAAACAATTCCTAGTCAAATAACCTGCAGAATAAGTTCCTGGTACAGCAAGCTCCAACTTTCGACACTCAAGAAGCTCGGGTGACACAGACTGAAAGAAACATTGAAAAGTCAACAAGGGATAGAAAATGAAAAGAAACTGCCAGCCAAACAATAATAATATAAGAAGCTTACGTGCAAATCCAAAGTTGTAAGACTTGGAAGCTGTTTGTCTATTCTTCTGAAAACATGGTAATACAAATCCCATGCCTAAAAAACAATAAAAATGTTAACTTCAACCAATATCCATGAAGGAACCAACATAACTTATCTTGCACTAACAGTCTGATGTACCTTAGTTAACTCAGCATCCTCTCCTGTAGCCCGATATTTTAAACAGCATTCGTGGGCTTCCAGTAATTCATGACCATAAGCCTGGAAAGTTTATGATGATATAAGTTATTATCCAACACTTCACAGGATAAACTTATTTACCAAAGACATTAAGGTACAAAAGGTGACCTATTTCTTAAGACAAACTGAAAGTAATATGAAAAACAACCCAAATTCCAGGAAGAACTGGATTGGTGTCACAGTAAAGTATTTAAGGCATAGGGCACTAAGTTTTGAAGATGTCGCCACCTGAATGAAAGTATTTTCTTTTATTGTCTCAGGACCCCTCTCGAGCATTGCATGCAATGGTTCAAGCACTGCAAGCATTCCCTCAATATTGTGCTCACCAAAATACATCCTGCTAGCTTCCTCAAGAGCCTCATGCCACATCTCATGCCACAGAATGGCAACTCGTATCAGTTCCTTTGAAACAAGCTGTGCCTGGAACAACGAACATTCACAGAAATATCAGGAGTGAAATGAATATTTTTTTACAGACCCCATAGGTGCTGATGCTAACCTGATCAACAAGACCTCCACTATGTTGGCGGATCTTATCGACGACCTCTTGCGCCGCTCGTTGTCTTAATATGCTTATTGATTTGCAAGCAACCAACAGAGGATACATCAATGCCTGATTAAGATAGCAAAGTAACCAAAACAATAGTTAGGTCATGTAAAATAACTGTCAAGACTAATGTAGGTAAACTTTCTAATGGGTTCCTATCAGGTGGTCACCAGTCATACTTGTTTTAACTGGTATTGCAGGTTTCAGCAGCATTAGGATATACACAACTATTTGAAATGCATATAACTACTAGAAGGCTAAGCAAATTCAATTCTGGAGAAAGGAGGAAAACAGGACATAAGTAAAACATTGAAAGAAAACAAACAAGTGAGAAAATAGACAAATATTTCCTCATTGTTTTTAAAATATTTCATCAAGCCTCCTGCAGACCTGTGCTATAAATTCAGTTCCTTCAATTTTTAATATTTTCTCTAGGTTATTCCTTTTAATAGATGACATGTCCTATCGTTAAACCAAGAACAGCAAGTTTGGTACTGTTGCTGTAGGACAGCATAATATATAATACCTCTGTTCATTTTTATTTGTCTTTTAGGACATTGGAAGTCTCGATGCACATGTCTGATTATTGTTTTTCTAATTATATATTCATAAAATTATTATGAAATATAAACTGCACAGAAGTATTTTTCATAGCGAATCTACTAATGTCGTTTGCATATATTAAATCTTAATATTCTTTTCATACATTAGCGACTCAAGATTTCAAGGTTTGACTGCAAGTTTTCTAAAATGTCGTCTACTCGAGAAGAGAGGGTGTAGTAAATTGCACTCAGAAGTCAGAACAGATATTCAAGTGGAGCCTCTCAGACTCCCAGTCATTAGCCAGAACCTATGTCAAGAAAAAATGCAAACCTGTGGATGATCCTTTCCAATTCGAACCAGCAATGACTGTATCAGTTCTCTCACTATTTTATTATTTGAATGGATCCTTGCAATTATCTGGGGAAGGACAACCAACCACATTTCTATATTGACAAGTGAAAAGCCTTTCTGCAGTGCCATTTGAACCTCTGAGGTAGCCCCATGATTAAACCAAAGAGTCAAGAGACGAAGGATATCCTACAAAAGCAGTTGCACAGAAATAATCTCCATCAGTCAAAATTCCAGTGTTTTATAAGGCACGAGCTACTCGGCATCCTGCAATCCATCTAGTCATCTCTGACTTTTCAGGTTAGACAGCTATCTGAATAGGCAAAATGGCAAAAGCTATTTAGGTCGCTGCCTTTTAGAACACTGTAAAATCCATCTATCAAAATTATTCTGCAACAAGACATCATATAGAATTATTTTTTTCTGCATTCACACCACTGTAGTTCTGCCATCAGTAAAAAAAATTAAGGCAAAATTGGTTATATAGCATCGAAAGTTCACGCTTTTGGTTTTATAGCACCGAAAGATACCGGTTCACTTTAATAGCACCCAAAGTTCACCCCATTCCCATTTTTAACACTTCCGTCATTTTTCCGTCCGTCTTGATCCAGCCACACACACGATATGACGTTTCTACCCCTCACAAGTACAAGTAGAATGCATGTCAATGAGGGGTAGAAACGTCATATCGTGTGCGTGGCTGGGTCAATTACGATCAAGACGGACGGAAAATTGACGGAAGTGTTAAAAATGGGAACGGGGTGAACTTTGGGTGCTATTAAAGTGAACCGGTATCTTTCGGTGCTATAAAACCAAAAACGTGAACTTTCGATGCTATATAACCAATTTTGCCAAAAATTAAATAAGCAGCATTCGTTCTCGGTTCAAGATAGTATGCAACAATTAGCTCCAGCATCCAATGCATAGCTTCCAGATCAAACGGCAACACGCTGAACCATTGAGAGAGTTTTATCCCTTTCTCTCTTTATGTTGGTCTTTTTAGTTGTCATTTGCTTCTATCGAGGCATGTAACATGATCGATTCTATCTTGTATTTTTTTGTTTCTCTTCTCTTCTAAGTGAAATGGGCAGAGCTCCTGCTATGCTCTTTTGAAAAAAAAGAGAGGAAGAATTATCTCCTAGACTATCAACAAACCACAGTAGAAATTATTTTAGTTAAAAGAGTTGTTGACCAGTGATAGTTTAGGCTAAGTCTCAGTAGATGCAAGCTTTTTCTAGAAGTTCATGGCTATAAACAACATTAATCTCCATCCACAAACTTTATAAAATATACTCCCTCCATCCCAAAATATAGCTACCCCTGGAGTTTTTCACGGAGACTAAGGAGAGGTGAAATTAAATGAGGGGTGGTTGTGATTGGTTCGATATGAGGAAGTAGGTGGAGAAATTAAATGAGAGATGTTTGTGATTGGTTGAGATGAGGGAGGTGGAGTAGCTATATTTCGGGAACAGATTTTGAACGCTAGAAGTAGCTATATTTTGGGACCGAGGGAGTAGTACTATGGTCACAAACAAACAAGTGTCATCATTTAAGTTTCCATCAATTTTAACAATGTTCATAAAGAATAGTAACTATAAAGATGCTCAAGGATGAGAATTTTTCATTCGAAAAAGCTCTTGCTCAGAATCAGCCTTATGGGGGGAAAAGGGGAAAAAGATTTACCTGTAAGCTATCATCAACACCTTTTGTCGTGGATGCGCAAGCAATAGAGTAGAAATACCCAGTTACTGCTGCAACAACATATTTTCCTGCAATATCTGGTCGACCACGCAAAGTATAGCGGGACATGACTTCAGTGTTGAACAAGGCCCATAAGTGCCATGCCTTGCCCCAGTCCTTGGCATTAAGTGTGGCATTTTTGTAAGAGACCAATATTTCTGGATAAAGAAAAAAAGTATATTTACATCAAAACGGGCAGGCAGACAAAAAGTAAAATAACTATTTTTTCAAGTCTCAATACTTTGGTAGGCAATCTTGCCCACCCACCCCTCAAGAGGGAAATAAACTGAAGTTATTCAGACCTTGAATAGAATCATCGTCTAACCCAGGTGATAATGCTCTCTTCCAGCTAGCAAGTGTCAAATAGACGCGAGCAATAAGTGGTACTCCAGCATTTGATGTGGCAACCTGGCTTGCTAATGTTCCAGAATAACTATTTGTTGCGGTAGCAAGCTGCACAGACAAATCCTATACCACAAAACCAAAAAGGAAGTATAAAAAACCACTTAAATGCAGAATAATTCTGCAACTTGGGGTCAAAGACGAAGGACAATAACAAGCTCACCTGTAGCCTGCAAAACGCGTCCCTTCGTTTAAGCTCATCTCCAACAGCATACTGGTACTTCAGGTATGCCAGGACTACTTGAGGATGTCCATGATACAGCGTCAATTCAGGGGAAGATTCTGGATCAAACTGCATTTTGACACAGGAATTAACTATTTTATAGGAGGGAGTAGCACAGACACACTGATGAAGAATGACTAAAGCCTACCTGTAAGAGTTTGACTAAGGTAGATTTAGCCTGACTAATGCGGCCACTCTTCCAGCAAAGTTTGGCAAATTTTATCCAGGTGTCTCTGTCTTCATTAGGAGGGAGAACCAACTCTCTAACAGCAAGTAAGGCTTGCCACACCTGCAATTTTTTTAGTCAGCATAGCCAATATGAAAAAGATTATACTACCTTCGTCCCAAAATATAAGGAGTTTGAGGGTTAGACATGAGTATTAAGAAAGTTGGTGGAATTAAATAGAAGAAGGTTGTGATTGGTTGAGAAGAGGAGGTAGGTAGGGAATTTGAATGGTGGAAGGTTGTGATTGGTTGAGAAGAGAACAGAATGTAGGTGGAGAAGTTGTATTTTGGGACAAATATTGAAGCCTAGAAGTTGTTATATTTTGGGACGGAGGGAGTATATGTATAAGGCACAAGGCAGTTAAAAGAAGCATAATATGACCTCAACATTCCGTTTTGTTCCTTTAATACGCTCATTCCACATATTACGGATAAGTTCCCTCCGGCTGTCAGCTATTGGACTTTCCATTGGAAGAGTGCAGTAATCAATCACCTGAAGTCCAGGTCATATATTTGGTTAGCAAGACAATAAGTTTCTTTAGAAAGTAACCGAAATGAGGATATACCTCTTCCAGCTCAGAAAGCTGTTGAACCCGCACCATATTATTATAAGCACGCTCATAACTCTCAAGTACCTGGTCACAAGAATAGGATCACGAAAGGGAAAACAAGGATGTTCTGTTACAATTACTGAACTCTAAGAGGGGATATTAGTCATCAGTACTATAAACATTCACCTTTGCTTTCTAAGTAAAAAAAGAACTAAAGAAAATTACTTAACCAATTTATTCAAACCAGTCACATGAGAGATATTTCAACTGTTATATTATCTTATAAATATTGAGTTCCAAGGTTTACACCTAATTGCTTCACATTCAAATTTACTTTGTCACCATTTATCCCCTTGATCAGTGGTTGTATGATTCATCCAACCATCGAAACGATCTATACAGTCTGTTAAAAATCAGAAGTTCATCTTTTTAGCCTTTACATCCTATCAGCTAACAATTCAATGTCCATTCTACAGCATTCTCAACCAGCACCTGACCCGTGAATACTATTATGTCTGTTTTCCAAATATTTGTTCTAGGTCTCAGAAAAGATCACCGAAATTTCCTTCTAGAACAGATCCCTACCCCTAGGGCCTGGACAACTCAGCCCACTGCCTATGACAGTAAGAGCTACTAGTATTTAGGGCCCCACCCCACAATACCCAAAAACCAATGGCAAATCCCTAAACATGAACAAAAACAAATGTCTCCATAATATGAAAATTCGAATAATGGAGATTATGTAAAGAATATATTTGACTATAATGTTATACCAATGCTGCAAGTTCTGTAGCCAAACACCGCCGAGCTCTCTCAACATATACACGAGCTTCTTCATACTGCAAAACAAATGCCAAGTAACCAAAAGCATGACCAAATTTTCAAGAAGAAATGGAAAAAGAAATCAACAAATATGCAAGCATACCTTTTTGCAACGAACTGAAAGAACAGCCCTAAAGAAAGCACCATTGCTGCTTCCGTCACCACTAGCTGTTGTGTTACCCAATATCCGGAGCTTGTTTTCATCCCCATCATCCAGACGAGAAACATATTCAGCCATGTGGTCCCACTCACCCATATGCCAAGCAGCATTGGCAGCCTAGAAAAAAAAAAGAAAAGGAAATTAGAACTTAAATTAGCAGAACTACAAGTTAAAGATACACAGTAAATTGATAACAAGATATATCCACAACCATCGGAGCCATTTCTAGTCGGGCAGATGGTTCTGAGCCAGTCCATTGCTCCCTGCATAATGCACTTAAATCTTCCCAACGGGCCAAGGCTGCTAGACACCTCATTCGACCTGACAGAAGAATGCATCTCATTTAGCTACTTTCACTGCATATGCAAAAAGAAAGCCGAAAATGACAACTCCCTCCGTCCCATAATATAAGGGATTTTGAGTTTTTGTTTGCACTATTTGACCACTCGTCTTATTCAAAAAAATTGTACAAATATAAAAAACGACAAGTTGTGCTTAAAGTACTTTGGATAATAAAGTAAGTCACAAAAAAAAAATAATAATTCCAAAAATTTTTGAATAAGACGAGTGGTCAAACAGTGCAAACAAAAACTCAAAATCCCTTATATTATGGGACGGAGGGAGTAGTAAGAGAGAACAAAAATCTGCCATTTCTGTTTACTTGACACTTTGAACAGTCTGTGTACAGGCAATCATATTTTTATAGAATATGATAAACGCCCTCCATAATAAAAGCACAAAATGACAGTAGTGAAAGTGAGGAAGGTTGATAAGAGGGATTGGGAAAGTGCCGACTATTTTAGAATGGAAGGGAATGCAACACAAGAAACAAAACAGAAAAAAAATTCCTACCTAATGTAGCATCCAAGTTTTGTAATGGCCCAGATGCTTGAGATGACTTTGCTTTGTATGCCTTCAAGGCCTCATCCCAACGGTGCAATTTTTCGTACCTGATTGCACAAAATTAAAGCAAGCATTGAAGCAAGATCTTAGATGAAGTCTAGAGTGATCCATGTTTCCACAAAATTTACATATATCATTACAGTTAAATTTTTCAAAAGTGTTTGATAGTTTTACAAAATGTAAAAAGAATGTATTTAATCCAACAAAATATAGAGCAGGGGATCATAGGTTCGTGGCAACTGTACCAGGACTCCTTCAATTGAACTTCTAAATGTTGTTGTGAGTAAGTCAATATCCCAATAGCTGCCTGCATAAATAACAAGAGGATTAACAAGCCACGACACATAACTCTTCTTAGCTTTGTATGACATAGAAACCAACCTCATGCTGGTGTAATTGGTTGTTAATATGAATAAGAGATTCAACAACAGTAACAGGATTTGCACCCATCTTCTTGGAACATACAGCTTCAAACTCCATTTCTTTATAATGCAGTGCTTTTGCAAATGCTCGACACTGAAAAAAGTTCAAAGGTTTCAACAGAAACAGAGATTACATGGGAACACGAAAATTTGCCGAAGATGCATAAAGTAAAACTAACCTTTTCAGCAAGTGCACCGAGCAGTCTTGTATCAATTGGAAGCGGCTTCTCATCATGTTCCATAAACTCTGCCTACTTACGCAAAGGACCGATTAGAAGCAAGATGACAAAGTGTAAAAATGATTAAAAAATCTAATGGTAAATTTAGTAATTTACCAAGTTCAGCAGTGTGGCAAGAATTTCTGGAGGTATGTTCTGAGATGAGAATGCAGTCTTGAGACTTCTCACAAGTTGCTCCTGGGATGTTTCATTCATTTGGGCCCAGCAACTTGCAAAGCCCGCAGCAAACAACTCACGACCAACAGAAGGCTGAAAAATTTGCATCAGGAAAGCAAGCGGTGAGTTGTGACCCCACCAGCAGCTGGTCTTTTTAAAGTGAACACAGATGAATCCATTCTCAGTGGCACTGCTGTGCTTGATCAGGGACAGCATTTTAGGCCTATATGCCGTGGCAACAAAACAATATGAAATGCTACAGGACACCCTGACGTCCGAGGTGGTTTATTTGCCTTTGGCAAAGGCAGTATAGTGGATGAGAGCTTATACAGGAGAATCAATGGATGCGAAAGTATTACCCTAAGCTTCCTCGAGCGTTTGGTAAGAACTATCTCACCTGAAGTTGTGCTAGTCTTGCGCAAGTGCGTAAAGCAGGAGATGGTGATTCTTTGAGAAGCGCAATACTGAAGTGCCTCATCCATTCAGCCCAATCTTCTCTAGTGCTCCTTTGAGAAGCCTCACCGGCACTTCTCAGTCGAACATCATTGACCTGTAGAAGTCAAAATCCTTAATGTTAAAAAAGAACAAACCAACTTTTAATATTACAAGTAAATGAAAATGCAGGGTATTAATACATGAAAGAAAATATTAGAGGATATCCCCTCCTATTAAATATGTAGTTTATTTTAGGTGTGGACAAGGGGCGCACAGGAACTTAAGAGTAACAGTTATCGAATATGATGCAAACTAGGCAAAACGACCAACAGTACACTTCACAATAACTCACCCGCTACTTCTTGGATGTTCATTTTTCAAAACATAATTAACTGATACAGGGAGCAGCTCAGCTAAACAAATACACTTACTGCAGGTTCAGAACTAATAAGCTATGCAGAGCAGCTGGGTAAGATTGAAATTCCCAAAAAGATCAAAGATCTTCACAGGTAAAGCATAGTTGAAGACTTCAACAAAGTCAGAAGGTTTTATGAACTAAGACGAGCCTGGAGCCCTAAAACCAAGCTGAACAGTGAATAACAATTAGGCTCGGTTTGTGGTGGTTGTGCTATGCTGCACTATGCTTATCTTTTTAAGTTGCTATGCAAACAAGGATTCTTATAGGTTTTTTTTGCAAATAAAATTAAGGTTAAATAAAATGTCATCCGATTGTCATGTCTCACAGTTTTTTCATATTTTCAGAATGCAAAAACATCATGCTTTTTGCCAAATGCCAAATGTCCGAAAGCAATTTTACCAAAAAAAAAAAATCGTAACACACTACTACACTTAACAAAAAAAGAACTTTAGTAAATTGCACAATGGCACAGAGAATCCATAGTGTCCCAATGTCCCAATGTTTTCCAAACAACAAAGCATCTTACTTGATGACTTCTTGGTTGCCGCTGTGTTTCATCAGCCTCCTCAGAAGGAACACCACCAAAATCATCAAGAGGGTCACTAATGACTTCAGGCGGGCATTGTGTGTACTTTTGTACTGATAAGTTCTCAGAGATGAGTGGCTCTCGCCTTAGTAATCGATTTTCAATCTCATCCCATTTTCTATACTGTAAAAGATAGCAGTAATTAGAAATTAGACCAAGCCATTCAAAATGCTATGTGCAAAATACTAAAAGTAAAAAAGTCTATTTAACCGCCTAAAGTTTGGGGTTAGTCTACTTAAACCCTGAAGTACAAAAATCAGTTCAAATAATTCCCTAGAGTGGTTTTGGACTTTTGGTCGCATGAATAATGATGAGGACAGTGAGATGGCAATGGATTTGGTTAAATGTATTTCAACAAGACAGCCTGGCATTGAAGCACATCACAACTAATGAGTAGTTCCCGGGTTCACCTATCAGGGAAAGGGAGTGGTTGGGTTGGTTTACGTAAAATGGGCTAACATGTCGGCCATGCAAGCAATAACCAGCTGCCACGTTATCATCTACATAGCAAAACCAATTAAAAACTACTCTAGTGATTTATTTGAACTGTTTTTCAAGGTTCATGGGGTTAAGTAGACAAACCCTGATACTTCAGGGGGCTAAGCAGATTTTGTCCAAACTAAACAAGTACCCGCATATGGTGCTTCACAAGAAGCTTGTGTATTGATGACACGAATATTGTAAAATCTTCTCCAAGAGCATGTGCAAGACAACAAAGCGCCTCTGCTGCATCTTTCCGTAGATCATCATTGTTTCTAGCCACAGAAAGACAAATTAACAATCTGGTGATGCACAACTAAAAAGTACAAAAGTTGACAAACAGATGATAAGCATTATACTCATAAACATGGTCTGAAAACAAGAAATAGTGGTTCATAATCCCTCAATGTTTTCTTGATACAACCATAATACACAAGAAATAGAATGTTACTTGTCACCAGAAGTCTTACCCATCCAAAACTAGCTTTAGATGATGCACCAAAACCGAAACATGAGTACCAACCTGGACAAGATATGTTGAGAACACATGATGTACAGAAGAAAGGCACAGAAGTTTCTGTGTATTAGGTAAAAACTATAATAGTCAAACTAAAATTGAACAATAACCGACCTGCACCGTAGGTATGAGTTTAGTCAAAGTGACAATGGCACGGCGTCTGATATCAACTAGCTCCACTTTAAATAACCGAACAAGTACTGGAGCAACCAAGTGCATGTGCTCATCCAAATTTCCTAAAAGGAGAAATTCATCATAACAAGTTAAAACTGACCAATGATTTGTTGTGGACATAAGAAGAAACAGAACTGGAGACGGACCTCCAAACACCTCTAGGGTGTGCAATATGTCAGGAACATAGTAATAGTCATTGCAGCGTTCAGCATCACCCAGGACTTGAATACAACTTGGCAATATGTGAAGTATATACATTCTGAATTCGTCATTCAGTGCCAAGCATAGTTGTTCAACAAGGTGAAGAACCTGGAGACACAAGATGGTAATTAAGAAAACAACAGTATATATAGATGGGGAAAAAATATCAATTCTAATTCCCATGCACAAGCATCTCATAAGAATTGGAGCATAAGTTTCCTATTGTACTCTATTAGTTTGCAGAGATTGCTCTTTGTTTTGCTAACTTCCTAACTGATGACATGACAAAAATATATTGGCCTACCATATGCCTCATCGAAGTTAGGAGAACTTTAGCTGTGGTAGCATTATACAGACAACAGAGAATATTAACAAGAGCACATGACAAGTAAAGCCCAATGTATTATTACCGGAGAAGCTTGTGGACCTTGGACAGTCCGATTTGGTGCAGGTAAGCTGAATGAGGAAGTCCACAATTCAGACACAAGAGAGAGTATTTCTTGTAAATATTTCCGAATGTGCTGTAAAATAAATAAGCTTGATGAAATATGCAATATATGAGATATCAACAGCAATAGAAAGAAATTAAGAATCTTCCAATAACTACAATAAGCAAAAGCGCAACACTGAAAGGACCATCTTACCTGTCGAACAATAGATACCAATGTCCCAAGCTTCCAGGTAATGAACTCTTTCAAACCACCATCCTCACACATGCGAACAGCGCGGAATAGCTCAGGGAGAACCTTCAGAAGAAAGGGTAAAGCATTTCAGAACAACTGGGCCTTTTCCCACAATGACAAATTGTCTTGCATCCAAAAGCATAATAATTATATTGCCTCAGTTCACAACTTGGCAACTACCATCAGAGGAAGCAGAAAATATGGCTAACATTTTGAAGACATTTTCTCATAAAAAACAGTATCCAGTGGTTAAATTTACACTCCTCCATTCTTTATACCCTCTAACCCGCATAACATCATGAATTAGTTTGACAGGACGCAACTCAGAAACTTTAATACTGCAGTGTACTGGTAATTGGCAAAATCAGTCATGTTTTCAGAAGCAGCAGGCTCTCAATGCTATGCCTGCTTGTCTAACAAATGATATACTCCGTCCATTTCATATTATAAGTCACTTCGACTTTTTTTCTTAGTCAAATTTATTTAAGTTTGACCAAGTTTATAGAAATATTTAGCAAACATTTACAACACTAAATTAGTTTAATTAAAACCAACTTCTAATATATGTTGATAATATAAAATTTTGTGTTAAAAATGTTACTATATTTTTCTATAACTTAGTCAAACTTAAAAAAAAATTGACTAGGAAAAAAGTCAAAGCGATATAATATGAAACAGAGGGAGTACTATAAAATCAAATGCTGTGAGCTTTGGAACGGCATCAGCTAAAGACCAAGTGGGCCATGGTCAAACAAGAGCAGAATTGAACACCTTTGGTAAATATGGAACATGATGCATCTATGCACCATGTGAAACAAAATGGGTCTGCTAGAAAATTTGTAGAATTTACAGTACAATAAAGCAAGTTGAGAGGCACTCACCTTTGGTAAATATGGAACACAGCCAAGTCCCATCGACTATAAGTGTATCATAGAGAAGAAGAAAATAATTATTACAGTGGAAAAAAACAAAATCTTGTTGAAAAACGCTAATAAAAATAGAAATATTACCTTAAAAATAAATATAAGAGAGCCAACCACCATCTGATGATAACTTGAAAGGGAAGGATCATGAAGAATCCGCATGAGAGAACTAATTGCAACCTGCAATAGAAGATTAATATCACAGAGACTAATGTACAAACTTTTATTACGCCTCACAAAGCAAGACAGAACATACTGTTGAATAATAGTCCTCAGATGCTGAAAAGGATGGCCAGAAATCAGTTGGCAGTTCTTCCATGGAAACAATATGTTGTGCTGTTTCCATCGTTGGCCGCAAGACCTCCCTATGTTGACCAGGTAGCTTATGTTGATTACGCTTATGTGCGTGCGGGTCCAATGCACCCATAATACCTAAAACCTAGGAAAAACATATTTCCTCACTGCTCAGATCAAGGGTGTAGTATTAATTTTGAGAAAGCCAGTAAGCATGAACCAGATAGAAAGAGTAAATTTCACAAAACTGTGCTAACATGACACATTTTTTAATGAACTGCAGAAATCCATACTTAATGTTTTCAAGCGTTTTCACAAAACTGCATTCTCATCTAATTAAATGAGCCTGACAGACCAGACCAACACATGACATTAGTCATACAAATAGGTCATTTCCGCTGAAACAGACTACATGTGACACTGACAAGAGGGACCGTCCTGTCAAGCTCCTTAGCTAGCATCAGATGTTCCATAATAATTAAGTGTGGTTTCAATGAGTGGGCCTAGCATCAGGCTCTTTCTATCCAAAGGGAGTAGTTTCGTCAAATGTTTCAAAGAAAGAAAGTGTGATTTCGTGAGTTTCATGCTTTGTACTACAAGGAGGTAGTGTTCTCAAAAATTGATTATAAACAGCAGGGTTTTGTGGTAGTTTAAGCTGGTAGAGAGGTATTGATGGAATTTATCGAATGAATAAATACCTTCAGCACTTCCAGTCTAGTAGACCATTCCAATTCGCCATTCAGCAATTTCAAGAGTAAACCAAGCAATGGAGGATACTCATTATAAGGAGAGATAACATAGCTGGTGGAACATCCATGAAAAATAATTCAGAAAACATTAGTGACGCCCAAGCTGCCATAATACATTTAATATTGAATGGAAACGATTACTAATATATATATGAACAAAAGTATATAGGTTTAAAAATAAAATGCAGCTATCTTAGATGTTATCAGGAGTCCACATCCATATTTGCCCAGAAGAGAGGAAGGGAAGTACTCCCTCCGTATGGTATGTGTATTCTACAAATTTAGGTTGCTAATTGATTTTATGTGATCTTGACATCTCGTACATAGTTTTTGGATTTGAGAATACTTTTACCTTTTAAGTTTGCATTACTATATTTATTTGATATTTATAGCAACACACAAGCAATAAGCTAGTATGACAAAAAATAACACAGCCCATCCATCCCAACTCACCCCACTATGACATCGAGTGCTCACAGTTTGAGGATTCAGACTGACACATTTAGACAGAAGAGAGGGAATGGGGACACAATGACCTCCTAAGGGAGGAACAAAGGAACGAATGGAGGGGCCTAAGTATCATTCATTTGGACCAGAGGCACATCAATTAAAAAATGGTGAAAATGGCAAACAGATGATTAGCTCGTTTTTAGAATGGCATTACCTCCTCTATCGAGAATTTAAATCTACTGTAGTATGTGTATATTATTTGCAGGATGTTTTGTTAAACTAATACATTATTTGCAATGTATATGTAATTGTTTATTGATATGATATTACTTGTATGTATGCAATGGGTTTGACTACATGATAGCATTATCTTTTCATTAGAAAACACTCAAAACTTGTGGTGTATATATATTGCAGGCCATTTGAAATGTGCATTCACTGTGCACTAATTAGATTTGTCCGGTGGCATTTTTTGGAATGTCAATCTTTAGATTGGCAAATATCCAAAGTTTCGCACAAAGAAAAATAGTGATGTTTTGGATAATAACTATTATTCAGAGTCATGCAAGACTTACTAAAGCCATAATAATTTAACAACCAAACCTTAAGTGTTTTACAGACACTAGATATGCTGCCACTTATGAGAAAGTCAAAGCGGTAACAAATTTCAAAAGATGACCAGACAGAATTTGAGAGCAGAACTCATGCAATTAAGAATTGCAAACATGACAGGAATTTAGCACAAAACATATAAATTAGCATGGATGCATGAAGGATCAGAAGTATACCCTGTGCTTTGGATAACTTGTCCAAGGGTTGCTACTGCCACTTCCCTTTTACTAACAGCACCTCCATCCAAAAGAGCATCCACAACTAGAGGCATTAGCTCAGGAAGATATTGCCTCATTGCAAAACCACCCTACCATGAAGAGCTAACTTCAGTGTTCAAGCAAGATAACTGAACAAAATATAAAAGATTGCACGCTCGAGAACAGAACGTACCACTTTGGCCAACTCTCCAACAGTAGCAAGCACTCCTGCTGCAAGCGCATTATTAGCATTCGGTCCTGTTCCTTCACGTAACCTAGCCACTAGTGCCTGGAAGAAAATGAAATTAGACTAGAACTCTAGAAGGTAAGAATATCTCAAGAATGAATAACACTGGTTTTGTTTATTACTAACCTTGTGAATTGGAGCAATATAAGGAAGAATGAGTCGTGCACAACTCCTAATTAAGCAACCCAACAATCTAGCACTTTCCTCTCTACACTTGCTATCCATACTGTATGAATAGTAAAGATTTTCAGAAGATGCCAAAGCAACATAATTATATGAGGCAAAAATTTTGTGGCAGCAAACCTTTGGTCAAGATATGTGAGCAACTGTATAAGATAACGGCGAAGGGCAGGCAGTACATAAGCAGGATTTTTTTCAGACAATCTACCTGCAACTGATATTGCCAATTCTCTGACATGGTACTCCTAAGCCAAAGGGTAGAAATAAAATTATCAGCAAATACATGGACAATTACATTTCGAGATTTAAACTATGTAAAAGATGTTAAGGTTGCCAAATAAAAAGAATATGATGTTCTTGCTAAAACGTAGAAGATACCAAACTTGGATACACTACTAAAAAGGCACATAATAGTCACAAGATACATGATGTCATTCAATATTCACCAAAGAGGCACAAGATGATCCCACCTCTGTTGCATACTTGCACAAAAGGAACCCATTCATAAATACTGGAGTACAAAGGATGTACTGTAATAAATCGACATGAATATGCACAAATGCACACATAAATGTCATGCAGATATATATGTAATATAGGCACCTAGGTGGCACCTATCGCCGACTTTTTAGAGCACTGGGTCCAGTTCAATGTTCAAATGTTACTGAATGGTGAAATACAAAAAGGGACCCTCACAATCTATAATAAAAAAAACAATAACAGTACTTTCACCCTGTTTGAAAGATCCATAAAGAAAAGATAAGAGGTAAACCAAATGGCTGATAGAACCATGTACAATGTAAGTGGCCCACACTATATGATAATCGTGTACTCCCTCCATCCCAAAATATACAAATATAAGTGTGTTAGCCTTTCGTAATATCAACAACTACGAAATTAACATCACGTGGAAGTACTTCAAAAACGAATCTAATGATAACACACCCGTGCTTACTAAACATACTGTTAGTTTAATTATTAGTCAAAACTCAAAAATTACAAATGTTGATTTTCCTAAACATGTGGGTGCCTTATATTTTGGGACGGAGGGAGTAATATGGTATACCTCATCATTTAAGGCAACAAAAATTGAAGTCATGATGTCAGCTTGGGCCAAAAAATCATCAAAAGATGGATTCCGATATAGAGCCTTGAATACAGAACTTCTAACACCAACATCAGCATCAGCAACTGCAGCCATAAGAAGTTTCTCCACAATCTGCAGAGGAATTTAAGAATGCATATAGACATAAGCAACAAAACGTGATTAAATTATGAAAACAGACCATCATTGACCGTGCTTACAACATAGAAACATAGAAGTGCATAATTACACGGATTCAAGTCCCAGCCCGTAAAATATTTCTCCACTATAAAGATTGACGGATTGAAGATGAGTGGCATTGCAATGGACTCATGTCTCTTAGCAAATAACTAGCTCCTCTTTTGCATGTCCTGTTTGTATGTAGCAATGTTGCACCCTAGATGGATTAGATCCAATCATGAACTATGTGAAGAGTCAAGTATAATAGAAGTATCAATTATAACAAACAGTTAGGATTAGGATTTGAACTGCTGACCTGTCCCACTAGTTTGCAACACATGTTTGCATTGGTTACTGAAATCATATTTCCAGACACAGCATTTGAAATATTCCCATAAAATTGCAGTTCATAATTTCTCATTTTAAACAGTTCGCTTCAGTAGTTCAGCTATGCAATCTCCCAAAAAAATTATATACTTTATAACAAGCATGTCCAGTAGTAAGCATGTTTTGAATACATGGCAAAGAAACAATAACACACTAAGAAATCTGAGACAGACCTCTTCTACAAGGCGGCGACGCTTAGCTCCTCCCATACGATTTGGCCGGTTTGAGCTAAACTGTGAGCTAGACGAAGCTGAAAGGGAATGCGCAACTAGTTTGCAGCAGCATGTTGCAGCAGCTTTACGGGTACTGCAATCCTCATCTTCCAGATAAAGGATGACACTCTCTCTAGCAAATTCCAGAAGCTCATGACCCTGAAACCAATTCATATTGTGACATCTCAAAGACAGTAGCAATGCACAACTTCGCTGAGTATTTCAAACCTTAAAGTTGAAATTTGCTAGAGTCCCCAATGCAAGCTGCACAAGAACTGGACCACCAGAATCCACAAACTGCTGCAAACTGCTTGATCTGCTTCCTCGGCCAACAGCAGCACCAGGCCTCACGGATGACTTTGGCAGTGCTTGAGATATACAATCCAACAATCGTTCCTGTATTGTTGGCAGTAGAGATGGGATGCTGTAGGAAATGGAAATGTGAAATTATGGCCAAGACAGAATAATATGGATGGCTCAATCAAGGAAATAATACCTGGTACTTATAGACTCAAGTGCCTCTACAAGTTTATCAGAAAGACCAGCAGAAAACATCGCATCTAGTAGTCCACCACGTATATGAGGTTCCATTGCAGGACCCATAGCTTTTGCGAAACTTCCCACACAAGAAATTGCCTCAAGAGATGGGCGTCCCCTACGAGGAGCAATCTGCATAAAAACAAGCAGTCATGCACAAAGAAAGCAGGGCAAAATTCAAGTAAACACTAGAGTAAACTAGGGGTTCTGAGGCATACCGCATCATGCAAGTGTGAGGTAATTAAAGGCAAATAGGGCACAAGTTCAGCACCAAGAGCGCCAGCCATCTCTCCAAGAGCAACAAAGCCACTAGCACGCTCATCCGGTGTACGTAAAACAAACAAGATATGATCCATGCAAATCTGAGAATAAGAATAGCATTATGGTACCATTTTAATATGTCTGTCTTTTGGTAATGACTTCAGGGCAAAGGGTAAAGAGTAAGATATAAACAAGAAAAGGAAATGTGAAGAAGAGTAGATGAAATATTTCAGTTCAAGGACTAATGGTGGTTAGAAAACCTTTAAGTAGTTGGTCACAAATCTGTCACGCAGGAAGTGAGCAATTCGAGGAAGAAGCGAAGTTATACTACGACGAACAAGCTGATCCCGGTGTCTTAGGTAATTGAGGACTATATCAGCCACTTCTCTGTACCTAGACATCATAAACTCCCCAGTATTCCTGCAATAGTTTTCATGCAACAACAGAATTACATAAGTTGGCATCGTTTTAAGTTGTTTTGCTATATCAATGTTCTTAAATAAAAAATTAGACAAATAAAGTATAATGCGATACAACAACCAAATCCAAGAAAAATCTTGCAATAAAAACTATGATTATGTTGGGAAAATTAAATAAATAAATCCCTACCAACTAAACAGTATTACCTCAATAATTCTCCAACAGCCAATAGCGAGCCATGAATGCTATGAACAGAGGCATTTTTTCCAAGACCAACCTGTGCTGCTTCACACATGCGGTAATACCTAACATAATCATAAAATGAGAAGACATGCAAAATGGTAAGGCTAAGTGATATCCAACCACAGAGGCACTTTATACATTATTACTCATGATCTAGCATAAGTAGCCACATAGGTTGCTGATGGCAGAAAAATGTTAATAACCTTTAGGGACAGAACAGGATTCTATAATTCCCCTTTAAGTAGAGCAGGCCCCATATAATTTGAGTCAAAAAAGTTTGAATTGTCAACAACGCTCTTGGAAAGTGAATGCAGGGAGTCAGACTAGCAGACTTAAGTGATTAGTTTTTAACGTTACTCACTCCATTCATTTTTGTAAGGTGTATTTCGATAGAAAAGGTCAAACTTTCTAAAAAATTGACCAGCAATTAGTCAAATACAAATACATTTAGTGTATGAACATACATTAATAGACTTATATTTCAATCTACTTTGAAAAAAATGTTGGTTTTGTAGATAGTTAAAATATATTTTATGAGAAATCAATGGTTAAATTTTGATCTGGAAAACTTTTTTTCAAATAAAATACACCCTATAAAAATCTACAGAGATAGTAGTAGTTAACATGAACAAAGATGGAAATGGATGTAAGAAGCTAATAAGGGTGCCATTAGTTTTGTAAGCAATTGGAATAGAATTCTTAGCATGTGAGGCATTTTCCAAACAGAAAAAGAAAATATTCCAATCAAAGGAACCGTGGCTTAATGTGGACTGTACTTCACCCACCACAGCAACAACTATAGTAGCACACTGCTAACGTATTTCTGTTAATGAATCATGTCAGTCCTTCCAGCAAAAACGGAAAGCTACATGGACAAACATGTATATCAATGGCAGTTCACAATCGTCATAACACATTACAAAAGATGAATTACTCTGTAGAAAGAGTGACATACTCCCTCTGGTCAAATATATATCATGTTTGACTTTTTTTAGTCTTCAAGGTGAGAATTTCACCACAACATATTCCCTCCAATCATATGATGTTTAAATTTTTTTTTACAGTCTTTGAGATGTAAATTTGAACCTAACTTTTTATTGCTATACTAAGCATGAACTCTAATAAGTTTATAATATCATGAAAGTACTTTCCAAGGCAAATCTACACACACCATCTTTTATGTTTTCAAACCAAGTATTGAAGTATCTTAAATTAAGTGGAAGTAAAGTTTCAAAAGTTTAACTTGAAAGAAGTCAAACACCATATGCTTTTTGCTGGAAGAGTAGCATCTATGCATTCACCAACCATATTGAGAATCATCCAATGAGCAAGTCTAACTATTGGTACCCAAACTTTAGTTCAAGCTTCAACTAGGTCCCCAAATTTGCACAGTTTGCTAATTGAGAGCATGCTCATTTACTAGTGTCGCACATAGCACTAATAATCACCCCAAATTACATGTGAATTTTATGTCTTGAAACTGAAACATACATAATGACCATCCGTAAAGATATAAATAATTATTTTGACCATCTGTAAACATATCAAAACAAGCTAGCGTAATGAACCATCCATTGCACAAGCTTTCATATAAATACATTATACATGTCATATATTATAATTTGAAGATAACAAATAATTGCTTTGAAATCTGAAACTAAATAAAATCGTATGAACTAGATATATCCACTTATAGTATATATATATATATAGGTGAAATTATTTTCTTAAAAAATAATAAAAATTACAAACTATTTTCTACAAGATCCATCCACAGAAAATCAGTGGAGCCTGCACACCAGCTCCCCCTTTCAGGGAGTATAGAGAAATTATTCAAACAATCATCTTAACTATCAGACAGATCATAGAGTTACTCAAATTTCAAATGTGGTGAAGACAAAATTGTGCTTACCATTGCACACGCCAACGTGTCTCACGTTTTTCAATAACATGGAGACAGGCACGCAATGCTTCCACTGCTCGCTCACGAACAGCCTGTTTGGGATCTCTCAGTGCTACCCATATAGCATCAACAAATTCAGGAACATGAACATTGAAAACTGTTGATGCATTTTCAGCCATCTCCTACAATAAGATTAAGTATATATTTATATAAACATGGTACAATGCCTTACCAGAGTAACATTTGCATGACATTCAACTAATACCATCACAATAAACCAACTAACTCATATCAGATATTTGATTCAAAATATTCACGATACAACAAAGTCTAAACATAAGACCAGAAGGAGTGTTTCAGCGGCAGATTTGCCAGGTTTAACAGACACAAAAAAAGATCCCGTAAGTCTAGACAGCTTTCCTGCTTAGTTGAGAACAATATAAGCCTTAAGCCCTTAACCCTAACTTAAGCTGACTTCATTGCCACTGATTTCCCTGATATTAACACATTATAAACTACCACAAATTAACCACAGTGCACCATGGACAAGGACACAAGGCTGATGAACCCGATGGCCCTGTTGCTATTTTCTCCCCTATAAGGTTGGACAAAGGATTCATATACGCATAATTCATGTTTAGTAGACAAAAAAAATGCCAATCAATATGCGTAAACAAATGTTTTAGAAATAGGGGTCCAAATATCAACCAACAGCACACCAGGTGAGCAAAATAGAAATGTGCAAAAAAAAAGGACAATTGAAATGAGGTATTTATCTGCTTTCATGATGGGAGGCTTGATTAAAGTGTGTAGCAAATACAAAAGTTGGGTGATTAAACTTACTTTGAGAATAAGGACAGAAGCAAAGCGGCGATACTCCACTCGATCCCCACCAAGCCATCCTAAAGCCGTTTTAATCTAAAAGATGTGCTTGTTAGCATAGTGATAAAAATATGCTCAAGAAAAATGAAAAATAGTTACAGTTTACCTGACGCTCCACCTCATCTGCAGTCATTGCACCGCCAGCTTTTGCTAAATGGCCAAGCACTGCGCTTGCTGGAACTAGAACTTCAGGATCACGCTTGACTTCAAAAACAGTTCGCAAGAAATTTGCGAACTTAGAAACCTTTGAAGCACCTTCTCCGAAAGGCATATCGATCAAAGCATCAATAGCACGAAGAGCAAGTAAATTTTCAGCAACATCGTTGCTTTGCAAGAGACTACATATCTGTTCATAGAGCTGTTCCATAAATCTCAGAAAAGCCTCGCCACTCAGATCTCGAGCTTCTTCCTCAACATGTTTTCTTAGGGCGGCAGCAATAACATCCTAGTAGTGAACAGCAAACACACTTAATCAATTATAGATGACTAGAAGATTTGTACACTTAGAAACAATACTCCATGTTCAAGATAGAAGAGGTACAAGTCAACTCAACAAAAGAACAGCCACGGGATTCGGGAAGTAAACACCCTAGAAAGCATAAACATCAAAACGAACGCCAAAAACAAAATTAGTGGAATACTGGAATATATGCTGCATTATCACCATGAGGTGAAGCATATCTTGGGCCTATTCACTTCACATAATTTCCTCATAATAGCAGCACTCGTTCATTGTCTTCTTGCAGGATGTGCCATGTAACAGTCCCGACCTTGTCGATTCCCCAAAACGGCAATGCCACCTCAATCAACTACACATATATCAGGAAGCTACATGACCACGATACTACAGGCGAAACGAATTATTTCATAGTGTTGTTGCCGCAAGCAAAGGAACCAGATCAAGCTGACTCCAAAAGGCTAATCGCCATGCGCCTATACCACCCCCACTACTCAGGAGCAATACAAGCAGCACATCTGGACAAGAAATAAAACCAACTGGTTTCGGATAAGAAAATGAGAAGACCTCAACTATACAAATGCCCAGATATCCATCCATCCAGCACTAGCGACGTGCCCTAGTGAGCAACAAAAATGCTCGGGAAAAATCCACACATCGGGCTCGGGAGCCTAAACTCAGCACGGCGAATTCGACCAATTTAGAGCCCCACCAAAACCTTTGCTCCCGCCCAAAACCCTAGCCGGGGGAGCCATAACAAGCGTTCTACAGCAACAAAAATGGAATCTCGGGAATCGGTGGGGGGGCGAAGCACATACCGCTCCCGACGAGATGTACGCCGCGATGTTGAACCCGTGTTCCTTGGCTATCAAATCTGCACAACAAGAGCGAGCCCGACATTATTCAGCCGCATCCAGGAGCGGAATCCGTGGGCGAGGGGGGGTGAAATCGACGAGAAGAGGGGGGGGGGGGGCGGTAACCCGCGAGGGAAAAGGGGGGGCGCACCTTTGGGCTTCTTCCCGATCTCCGGGAAGTGCGGCGAGGGCTTCATGGCGACGGCGGCGGCGGCGGCGGCGGCTCCAGAGCCGACGCGGCGGCGAGCGGCCGAGGCGGAGATAGAGGGAGGGGGGAGGGGAGGGTTTAGCTTTCCCGACCTGGCTTGGCTTGCGCGACAGGAGCGGTAGGGAGATGAGAGCGCAGACCGCACAGAGGGTGGGGGTGTCAGGGAGCGGGGCCCAGGGGATCGATTGGCGGCGGGGCGACTGAGAGGAAGAAGTGGCTTCGTTCGGCAATCGGCACACAGGAGATTTTACCCCAAAATTTGACAAAATGACCATTTTAGAAAACTTATTTGAAGATTGAACCATGGCAAAAACTAATTAAAGAAATCAGCCTTTTACTCCGCACCAACTCCGATGGTGCTGAGCTATAACTTCTCAACGTCATTAATATTGGCGCTGAGATTCCATCCGATGTAGCGAGAATGTGCCAAATCATCATAGCTCAGCGCCACACTACTTGGCGCTGAGGTCTTCATTAACAAAAGCATAAACATTAGTGGTGTTGAGTAAAAAGCTTTATTTCTACGATAAGTTTTTATCACGGTTCAATCTTCAAATAAGTTTTCTAAAAGGACCCAGGTAAATAATACCATCAAAGCTAGTAATTGGGTTTATCCCCTCTTCAATCCCCTTTACCATGGGGGTAGCATTTGATTTAGGGTCCCAATAAAGGCTTAAGGCTTATTCAGTTTGGCTTTTATGCTAGCTTTTGACTTACTCGTACATGATTTGTTATAAGTCGGTGAAATTAAAATCATAAGTTTTAAATGTTATGATGGAGTTATACATCTACCTCACATAACTAAAATAACTTCTTTAACGCCCGATTGTTTTTCTCAACTCCAAATTTCAACTCTCTTGTTTCCCGTTAGCATGTTTTCTAAACTTTAAAATGATGTGTTTTTAACAAAATGTTTCTATGTAAAAGTTGTTTAAAAAATTCAAATAAATCCTTTTTTAATTTTTATAATAATTAATACTTAATAAATCATGTGCTAGGTACGTTGAAATTTTTGCTCTCAACTGAGAGATCGAACAGGGCCTAACTAAGCCTTTGGCTTACAATGTAAAAGCGGCTTGTGGCTTTAAAAAACTAAACAAAAAAGTTGCTTATTTGGACTTAAACTTTTTACCTCATCAACTGAATTATGGGTATGTTCATATTGATGATATTTTCAACCATACCATTATTTGTTAAAATTGATAATTATGTGGCTACATTTAGTTTATTACCAAATATTGGAAATGTGTACATAATTTTTGCATCATTATTAAGCCAATCCTACCAATTTTTTGACAATATTGTCAATTTGCAAAATTTTGACATTGCCAAATTTTGGTAAGGTTCATTTTGGCACCGATCTAAATGACCCTATAAGTCTACGTAAAGAGGGCCTAGAGATTGTACTTTGTGCCATCTTTTATTACTGAAGTTTTAGGGTGTGTTTGGTAGCCCTTGTTCCCACCACTAACTTTGCGCATGGAAAACGAAGTGGTCCATTAACACATGATTAATTAAGTATTAGCTATTTTTAAAAAAATAGATTAATTTGATTTTTTAAGCAACTTTCGTATAGAAACTTTGTGCCAAAAAAACGCACCATTTAGTAGTTTGAAAAGCGTGTACGCGGAAAACGAGGGAGGAGTGTTGAGAAAAGGGATACTGAACACACCCTTAGTTAGGACCACCTTCTATCCAATCTTTTCACTTTGGACTAAGTATTTCTTTGAGTGAAATACATAGCCAGTCCTTAAACTTGTCGGGTGATGTCACTTAGGTCCGTGAACTTGAAAATTACACGTTTAGCTCCGTGAACTTGGTTTAATATATCATCCTCGGTCCAATTGTCCTTTGACCACGTTTGACCGCCAACGTGGCATACCACGTGTGCAACACTTTTGTGCTCTGCCCCCTCCACATATACCTTCACACATAACTAGCCCTGACCAGTGCATTTCAACCCAAATCCTCCCAAATATCCTTAAATCGGTTAGGGTTTCGACGGTGAGGTTAGCGGAAGGAGGCCGAGAGGTAACGGCTGTAGCAGCCTCAGCGGTGAGATTAGTGGCAGGAGACAACATAGTGCAGCGGGGTTAGCAGTAGCACGGTGCGGTCGGATTAGCGGCGGGAGGCAGCGCAATGCGGCTTGCACGCTAGGCATCCCCATGGATTCTCCAAGCTCATCCTCATCTTGAAGTCGCCAAAGAATGTGTCGTTGAACAAGTGCCCATTGTGCAAGGATAAGTTCATTTTGGAGCGCAGAGTAATGGCAATTGCTAACCGGGACCGCATTTTTTATACATGCAAGGAGAAGAATGAGAGAAAAGAACGAGGATTTTTTTGGGGGGATTTGGTGTCACACTGTCACTATATAGCTACAAGGAGATATATGTGACGTGTTGCGATGTGGAGGGGGCTGAGAGCAAAAATATTGCCTACGTGGCATTGCCACATTGACGGTCAAAGGACGTTTGGATCGAGATGATATATTAAACCAAGTTCACGGAACGAAATGTGCAAATTTTAAGTTCACAGACCTAAGTGACACCACCCCATAAGTTTAGGGATCTGCTATGTATTTCACTCTTTTTTTTATCTTTGTTGTACTTTGGACCACCTTAATATTTTTGTCTAGCCATATTTGACTGCTCCTTCTACAAAAATGTGGCATGCACGTAAATAGGGAATATTATCAGCATGAGGGTGCCAATGTCCTTGATGATGTTGTTGTGCTCGTGAAGAGACTTTATGTGACAAAATAAAAAATGGTAAAAATATCTAGTCCAAAATGAAAATTTTGGATAGAGGATGATCCAAACTGAACTTAAGTAATACAAAGTGATTAAAGTGCAATTCGCTTTCTTTTTTTTTTTACCAAGAGAATCGGCGAAGGTTTAAAGATTTCATTACAAACAATTTATGTCGTAATTATTACAACAGTTAGAAAACATGTCAATTCGTATTAGAAGCTTTGTGCACACTGAGATTATAAACTCGTCACATGTAAATCTCTATTACAGTAACAACAAGAATTAAATTGTACAAAACTGAATTATAAAAACTAAAGCTAAACCAATAATATCTGAGCTTGATTGCTAAAAGTTCCCTCAATTAACAAAGCCTTTCTCAGGAACATCACAGTAATTTTCTTGGTGCAGCAAACATAAGTCCCAAAAAACACATGAGATGGATTATTGCTTCAGGAGAACTGCACAATTCGACGGCTGAAAGATGGCATAAACTGCTGATGATCATTATGCATTATTCAGGTGTGACCAAAACTAATGTAGAGCCTCATCGGTTGGCCTAATAAGCCAAAGCAAAAGCCAATTTTTGAAATTGATTTTAAGATACTTTCAACATGATTTCTTTTTAGCATTGGTTTTTAAGTCGATGTGAATAAATATATAAAAGTTTTACCTCTAAATTATTTTTTATTTCCTAATAAGCCGTTTTGGTTTATTAGGAAATATAGGTAAATCTCTACTATTATAAAAGTTTAAGATGTTTTTGCCAAAAAGATCTGTACGTCGTCGGTTTTCCATCTCCCAATCTGATTCTATTACTGTTCGCTTGTTCCAAGAGATCCTCAAGGCCTGTCTAAAATCTGTTACTGTTCGCTTATCAAAAAATTCTATTATTCGCTTGTTCCAAGAGAAGAAAAAAGAAAAGGTATTACTGGTACCGATAGAGGATAGCTAGCGGGCTGACATCCGGCCTCAAGGCCTGCATGGGCCACGATCCAGATAAGGTTTTTTTTTACGAGAAAGGTAATGTGTAATGACCAGCTATAATATCAAATTATCAAATTGAAGATGCTTTTGTCGGTATTTTAGTACGTCATCCGAGTCAGTTAGTCAGTTTTTAAGTTCGTTTGCTTTTAGAAATACATATCCGTATTTGAGTCGATTTTTAAGTTCGATCGTTTTTTGGTAATACGGAAGGAATTATATAAGAAATCTGTTTAAAAAACTTGCATGCTAACTTCTAACTGCAGGTCATGATTTTCTAAAAATATATTTCCAAGCGAATTTCTACATCTTAACTAAACCATATAACAATAATAGACTTCACCCGTTACAACGTACGGATACTAGCCATATTATAAAGAGATAATCCATTATATGCCACTGACTTTGTCGCACATCTACGATTTACCACTGACTTTGTCACGTTCTACAATATGCCATCGACTTTTGCTAAACTTCTACGATTTACCATCGCCGTCCGGTTAGCCACCGTTAGTACTGTACAAATTTGTCGAAATGACCAAAATACCCCTATGACAAAAACTTCCAAAATTTGGATAAAATTATCAAAATATTATATTATAAACATAAGATTGTAAACATCCAAAATTTGATCAAAAACTTGAAATATGATATTTCATATTTTTTATCCAAATTTTGAAACCTTTTCTCCCAGGGGTATTTTGGTCATTTCGACAAATTTGTACAGTACTAACGGAGACTAACCGGACGGCGATGGTAAATTGTAGAAGTTAAGCAAAAGTCAATGGCATATTATAGAACATGATAAAGTCAGTGGCAAATCGTAGACGTGTGACAAAGTCAGTGGTATATAATGGATTCTCTCTATTATAAATTAGAGGCATCTTAGCCGTGCCTGCATTAATTGTTCCTTTCTTTTGATGATATCGTGTGAAGCCTCCTCACATGCTTGCAAGCATGCAACTCCCTTCACATTAGTCAGGTCTGCCATTCCCCCCCCCCCCCCCCCCCCGGTAAAGAAAGTTTGAAGTCTTCAACCAAGATCAAAACAACAACTTAGGCAGTTAGAAAAAAGGGCAACAACTTTTGTTGTTTGGTTGCTCGCATGGACTTGGCATGCCCTATCCCTCTCATATACATCCAAGCTAGGTTTGACCTAGTCTTTCATTTCCACCTCTCCACTAAGCGAATACACAAGTGTAACACCCTGAAAATTCGACCAACGAAATCAAAACACCAAAAATACGGATTTTCAAAAACTTTTTAAGTAATAAATTGCATCATGCCGATTTTATTCGCCTGTTTCATTGGATTTTGATCTCGGAATTTATTAATCGCGAATAATGAATAACTAACTAGGAATAAACCCTAAAAA